TTAATATCGTGACCGTACGTCGAGCGGTTAAGATTTGTGCCCAACTGTTGACGGACGGACGCTCGGACGCTCGGACGGACGGACGGACGGACAGACGGACGGACGATCATGCGATTCTACAAGCTGCATCTGACTATGTCAGATGAGCTAAAAACACACAGCTGGCGATGCACATGTTAGAATGCATATTGCATATATTACTGACACTAGCATCAGTATGATACTAATAATATACATTTAAAGAATTAATAATTAGATAATAAAAAAGAAATATATACATAAATAATAAAACAATAGTAATGTAATTATCGAAAAACATGTAGATGGCGCTCACAGCTGGACTGGCTCGCCATCGAGTAGTGGTAACATAGCCCCGGCTCCGTGCAAGCACTCTAGCACCAGGTTCAGGTCTTCCTGCAGCTCAATCCTACAAGATCACGATAACATGTCATACATGCTGCCTCAGCCATGGTCACAAACCATGTGTGCATAAATGCACTCTGATAGCACAGGTCCTTACTAAACACTCTTTTTTTACCCTAAGCTTGCAGTTTACTGAAGTTTTGGTGTCGATATCCTAGTAAACATAATGTCAACACTAAGAAAAAAAAACTTAGAAGTATAATAGTTAACAGTCCAGCACCACACAGTTTATATAACAACTGTCTATAGAAATACTTATGATTAGTATCACAATATGGCTCAGAAGCCATTAATTGGCACAATAATTGTCACCTTGAAAGATTCGTATCGTCGGAGACGGAGTTGAGACGCGCGATGGCTGGCTGCATGAACGTGTCCAGAATCTCCTGTGCAAACTGTTTCTCCTCCACGCTCGGTATATGCCAGCTGATGTTCAGGTTGTCCACGTCTCCCTCTATGCACCAGTCCTATAGAAGAAGTGTGTGACTGCGTGCGTGTCTGTAGGTGGGCTGACACTCACGCACGCTCGGACTCAACACTGACGTGTCGTGTGTCATCACGCCGGACTCTTACCAACGTCCAACAGCTACCCGCAACATTTGCAACGAGTGAATTGTTAGATTACTGTCTACAGTGTCGAACCTCTATCAGTCAACTCACTCCCTCAGCCCATCCTACATCCCTATTTTCATTCCTTCTACAATCACCCTAACTCCCTTGCTGTACCTCCATGCCTTCTAGCCCAGTAAACCCCACCCTGCCTTCCTTCTTCCCTCTGTCTCATCACTCGTTCTTCCCCCATCTCCACCCAGAAGCAACCCACATCTCCCTGTCCCTACCACTGCTCACGTTTAGAAGTAGGTAGTCAATGGGTCCTACCTCTCTTTTCTCACTCCCTCAACTCTTTCTCCATATCCATCCCCACACCCACCAGTGGCCTCACATCCCTCTTACCCTACCATCACTCATGTTTAGAGTAAGTAGTCAGTGGGTCTACCTCCCTTTTCTCGCCTCGCTAGTCGGCTTGCCCTCATATATGCTTCGATACGGCCCTCCCCACGCCTCCCACACCCCCCCCTCACCTTCCCGCCATCCCCACACCACCTCCGCCCCCCACCCACCCCCCCCTCCACTCGCCCTCCCCACTCCCCCCACTACCCCCACTCCACACTCCCCCCCCCCCCCCCCCCCCACACACCCCACTCACACCCCCCCCCCCACCCCAAAAGTTATCAGACCCAGGCTAGACACCTACGTGCGGGCGGCACGATAACATGGAACCCGCATAGCCGCCCGCATGCACAGCGGACCCCAAACTCCGTTCGGGTAGACGAGCGTGAGCGACTTGAGCAGGTTGCGCAGCGTCAGGCCGGCGAAGCTACAACCACCCCCACCGCAGACTCCTCACGGATGAGCTCCGACGCAGCGCATCGCAAAGAGCTCGCGCTAGGCAGGTCCACATCGAGCGGATCCTGCGAGGTCGGTCACGGCAGCAGCTCCCGCCCGTTGCTGCGCATCACCTATGAGGAGAGAGAGAGTGAGGGAGGAGGGTGAGCGGGCGGCGTAGCTTCGTGATTCGCGACCAAGTTCATCGTCAAATTTTACGATTCGTTCTGAATGGCGGCGCCAATAGTACTAACTATATTCGGAAATTCAATAAGCAAATAATTTTAACAAAGGCATGTGGAGATGGGCACCGTGGATAATCGATTTATTATCCAATTACAGAATTCATACTAAATTATAACAGAAGCGTGGGGAGATGCACCGTGGATAATATATTTATTATCTAATTAACATGAAATTCATGAGCATAACAATTTAAACAGAGCATGGGAGTTGTGGCCTTGCTCTCTATCATCACGCCTAACATCCCTTGCTTGTACCTCCCATGCTTCTAGCCCAGTAGAACCCACCCTGCCTTCCTTCCCCATGGTCTCATCACTCGTGATCTTCCCCGCCATCTCCAGCCCAGCCAAGCAACCCACATCTCCCTGTTCCTACCACTGCTCACATGGTCAAGCAAGCCAAGTTGTGGCTTCACGTTTCACCAATTCCTCATCCAATTTCACAATTCATCTGATATTCTAACACAGACATGGGGAGAAAGGCATCGAGACTTCATGTTTCACAGACTTTTAATTTTTCGTTTATAATTTTTCACCTCGAATTTTAATCGATTCTAACATATTACTTTGCGTCAGACTTGACAGTCAGGCTGCAATCAAGTTAACCAAGGGTATAGCATGACAAGCACCGACACCTGACTGTAGGGACACTGATAGCCTCTACCCTGATGGTACTCACCTCACAAAGTAGCTGTAGTGTCCACAGAAGCTCTGTGTCTGCTGCCTCCTCCTTAAGATCTTCGCCTGCGAAAAAAAGTCGAGCTTCGTGTAACAGGGTCAACTCACGCTGGTGCGAGAGCACGTACTAACATCTTAAAAATTGTGTGCAGTGTTTTTTTGGTATACAGTATCATTATAAGTCCAAGTATGTTGCAAGTCTGACAAACATACTCAGTACATTAACGCGATTTAACCTGGTGGCACGGCACTGGAAGGCAGAGCCCAGTTGTCTGGAAAAAATCAGTCTTAAATAGTCTTAACATTAACATTTCCTTATGGACCATTGACAGAATTTTGTTTAGTAAAGTTCTCGGAAATTTGCTATGACTTTTCGATCTTGTAATTGCATCATGTTTCTGTTGACAGTCTAAGAGAAAAAGTTAATGTTAAGACTAATATTTATACTAACTTTGTTTCTGACAATGGGCCCCTGCACATACACCTAACGACCATGCGTGAACCGAGTAACCAAGTAATCCGTGTAGAACCACGACTGACATTAACACTGTGATAACATCTAGCACTAGCTACACGATAGGAAAGTGACATTAAAGCATACGACAAACGCACTGTACCAGAGGCGTTAACTCCTGCCAGTCAGACCTTGGTCAATAAATGTTCAGATAACAAGAAATAAAAACGGAATGACATCTTATGAGATGCAATTCCCCATACCTGACGTTAGCTGCACAATGACCTTGTGAAAGTGCGGGACGAATAACTTCAGAGCGACCTGGGGATTAGACTTGGTGGCAGCCCGACACATGTTGGCGACAAACTTGCCCGCGACGGCAACCTCAAACACGTTGTTGCAGACAAAGTTGAATAGCATTTGCACTGCGGCCTGAAAAACGTGAAAGCCAAGTTTGTGACGTCACCTATAGTAAGATTTCTAAAAGAACTTTAGTGCATGGAGATAAGTGCATTGTATTTTCATCAAGGTTTGCAAGCACATTACTATGCTAAATTCCCAGGAATTTCTACGACCAAAATTATAATCGACTATAACATACCTCTTTTACAATTACAGGACATTTTTTATATATTTTTCAGGACCTGAATGGACCCCTACGTCTACGTACGTCGTAGATTTCACGCGAGCACTGCGTCAGCACGGCGCTGATGGTGGAGCTGATGCCGACCTCCAGCATGCTCTCCTCGGCGTTCATCTTGTCGTGAGCGTTGGCGGTGTGGTGCTGCGAGCCGGCGACCACACTGCTGTTACGCACCAACTCAAAACACCTGCCAACACACGAGGGGAGAAAAGGTGACTAGTGGCACCATCTGCTGCCAGATTTCTCAGGAAACTGGGCTTATTCACACGAGTTATGTTGTGAGCTGCATGTCCAAGTTCGTTGCACCACGATTGTTGCCTTGAATCTTTTAAGGCAACATTGCAGCATAAAACACTGTCTATTGAACTATCAAAATGTCAGAGACATTGATCATAGTTACGCTTCATTGTGTACATTCACACTGTCACTGTACAACTGTGGTCAGATGGGCTAGAAGAATTACCAACTTCAACTTACCATCCGTGAATACAAATTTTGATGTTTTAAAAAGATATCGCGTCAAACGCAGAGAATTGTACTCTATATATATGAAATATATGAGAAATATATGTATACGAACACCATGTTTTGAAGACTTGTTGAGTATAGAACTTTAGCTATTACCAGACATGAATATTGGTATATTACCTATCCATGAATAACAGAACGAAGTCTTCGAAACCAGCTGTTGCCGAACAAAGTTCCTTTTCCTCCTGAAATTAAAAACGAATGGGGTCACTACATCCTTCCTATTCCTGGGTGAGCCCCAACCACGTTTGCTCATCCAATAACTCAAACCCAAATACCATGAATGGCTAACAATAATCAGCTACTCACTTAACCCCCGAACTAAGTACAGTACACAATCTATTATCCGAAACGCTTGGGACCAGACACGTTTCGAAATTCGGAATTTTCTGGATTTCGGAATGGTAGCTGACGCTACAGCATATACATTTACGTAGTTATCCTGCCAACTAGCCAGTACTAAAACCCCAAATTTTCAACAGCAGAGTGCCTTAACTGGACCAGTATATATTAAGATACATAATTAGAAAGAGTATGACACCGTTTGTATGACACATAGTTTTCAACTTGGAAGATGAGTCTATCAATAGTGTAATAACTATATTCAACTTACCTCTGGCTTTCGGCTATGATTCTCCCTTAATCATATGACCACCAAGGTTTACCTGGAAATCGTATGTGTTCTAAAAATTTCTTTGAGAGGTACGACACGTTTCACACCAGTTTTCCCAAATGAAGCGCACTGTGTCGAGCGGCAAGGTTTCTTATGGGTATTAGTGTTCGATTGTCTATGACGGAACGCCTGGGGTCTGGGCGAGATTTATGGCATCAGTATTGTATTCAGCGGTGGACGTTTCCAGCATGCCCTAAAAATAAATGTGTGCTCACGGCGAACTAGAGCTATTTTACTGTGTTTGCCATACGTGTTCCTGATGATAAGGAAGCCGAAACAGTTGCTGTAGCTGTGCTTACGCTAAATATCCCAGCAATAGCCCCAGCATCCCGTACTTACAACTGCGTGCCTGCCGCCGCATATCAGACATGAGCCGAATACATGCCAAGTTTCGGAACTGTGTGAAACCGTGGCGTATTCAAAGAACCTTTTTTGAGAACACATACGATTTTCAGTAATTTGAGTGGTGTCATTATGATTAAGGAAGAATCATAGACGAAAACAAGGTAAAGTTTGAATATATTTATTCACATATTGATAGAATATTTACAAGTTGAAAACTATGCAAAACGCTGTTAAAACGATGTCATACTTTTCTCTATTATGTACTGTTGATAATATGTATGAGTAACACAAACACATCTGCAGTGAACCTTGTGCAGCCAAACACGAGCTTTGGTGTGCAGACAACTTCCACGATAAAACTTTTAAAACGATTTTCAAAGCTTTTCGGTTTTTAGAATTTCGGATAATAGATTGTGTGCTGTACTTAGTGTAGATCAAATAAAATTAAGTGAACAGCTCTTACTTCGCTCAGGTCACTCCGGTTCTGCACTGCCGACGAGCAGTCCACCAGGGGGACAAGAGTGACGAATGTTGAAATCAGTTGAAACGTCACCTACAAATGAGAACGACATTGCACGTGACAAATGACACGTGCGCACGCCTCAAGCAACTCTCACATTAGCTACACACATAATAGGATTGGCAGTTAAGAAAACCCCTGCAAAAAAAAGCTTAAAGCTGAAAGCTTAAAGAATCGATACTGAATTTCCAACATGTTTAATTTAGAACTACAATAACGTTGATTTGAATTAATATTAATGATATTTTCTAATCAAGTTTTCCATTTTAAACGAAAACCATCCTAAAAACCCGACTCGTATTTTCAGCAAGAAATATCTAGCTTTCACGCTTTGTTGAGCGACGATGTGCAAAACTTCAACGAGTTCAATGTTCAAACTTCTTTCGAAAATCAATGAGATGATAAGTTTTTCAACGTTCTATCAACCTTTCTATCAGATGTTTAAAGTGTTTACGTTATCGATTGCGAGTCGCCAAAACGTTTCAACATTTGACCTGTAGTTGAATTGGCACCAGTGTGGCGCTGATAGCAAAAACGCGCTCACCCCCTGAGTGGAGGGACATACCTCCTGATTGCCATTATCGGAGTGGCCGATTGGCAAAAATTTGATCAAATCTCTGACCAAAAGTTGAGAAATTAAACATGTTCTATTCTCTCAACTAGTTGCTATCACCTTGTTGAGCACCCAAATTTTACGTTTACACTGGCGACTTTCGGTCGATTAGTTGAAAAGTTTATCAGCTCGTTAACTTTTCAGCAAAAAGTTGATAGTGTAAACCCAGCTTAAAGCGACGCACCATGGACTTCTTGATGTCGTTGGAGTCGATGCCGGGCAGACAGAGCATGAGTAGGGGGAGGAAGTGATGGCGACCCTCGCTGTAGCGCTCCTGCGTGCGTAGCATGCTGCGTGACACCGCCACAACACAGTTCATCGTAGAGACGAGGCGATGTGGCTCAGTGAGCGTCGTCAACGACGGGTACAGCCTGCAGCGTCGCACGGTGACGTCAGGTTAGGAGAATCACTCAATAATCAATTATTAGCAATTATTCATTTATTTAATACACACGCACGCACGCACGCAAAATCTATACTATATACATTTAGATTCTATTACAATTATTATTGAATTAATAATGAAATAAAGTAAATGAGTAATAATAATTTAATCAATTAATTAATTAAATACGGAAAAACCACTCATATTGTATTTAACGAGGCATCTAATACTTTAGACTAGGCGTACAATTGGAAGCACCTCAACTCAATAGATAAATTATCGGCGACTGGTTTTACGGGTCCATACCACAAAATCTGATTAGAATGAACTTTCGTTTACATCCAAACGTACTTCCCTAGAAGTGGCTCAATTATTTATCAAGTAATTACATACTATTAATTATCAGAAACTGGTTTCACGAGTAATTTCAATAAAATGAATGTTAAATGCTTCTCTCGGCATCCACACGTACTGTTCTAGCAGCAGCTCAATTAATTATCATCAACTGGTTTAATTTAAATTTCAAAAATTAACATTAAAAAATTAAAAATTAACCAAAATTAACACACACAAAATCAAATATTAAACGTCTCTCTCATCGTCGACACGTACTGCTCCAGCAGCGGCTGAATTAATTATCATCAACTGGCTTCATTCATAAATTAAAAACAACAAAAAACTGGCGTTGGTTTAAAAAACAAACTCGGTTTAACTTAAAATTAAAATTAACAAAAAAATAAAATATTAAACACCCCCCAAACTCTCCACAGTGACACGTACTGCTCTAGTAGGGGCGGGATGACGAGTTCAGGCCTCACAGTGCTGAGGTTCTGCAGCGACCCTGCGCAGTCTCCGCTGCCTGCCTTGCTGAACATCGACAGCATCACCACCGGCTTCACAGCCTCGACAAACTCCGTGATCTCCGCCTCGCCGAGACAATGCCCGGCGGGGATGGCGGGAACCCACGACCGCTTCTGGTGGCGCTCCCTGTGGGGTGAACGATCAGCGATCTAGCGTTTAGTCAGGTTGACGACGTCAGCGTACGTACGCAGGGGAGGGGGGGGGACACGTTGTGGGGGTTAGAATATCGGTGGTGTTTATTAGAGTAAAAATGTCGAATAAATTATCATTTTGGTGGATAAATTATGAGTGCGAGATGTACACGTTAAGACTGCAATCGAATGTTCGTCAAATCTACGAGTACGATTCCCTGAGACGTACACTTATTGCATAGATCTAATAGAGTATGATTGCGTAGATTATCATCCATCGTTATTACTTTCATGAAGTTATGGAAGACACAAAGATAACCGTGTAAGACTCACTCGTTCAGTCTTCGAACCAGGCCAGCCGTGAGCTTCGCCATGAGGCGTTGAAGTTTCAGCTGCAATGCAAAATGTCAGCATGATTTATATACTATAGTCAAGCAGATGTACTATTATAGAAATACAGCCTTATTTTTTTCATGCAGTAATCTCCTGCAAAATAATATCCATCCTACTCTTGATTAACGAATTTTATAAAAACCAGACTAAGATTTCACTATCAACAAAGCAAGATTTGCACAAACACAAAGCTGAGAGAATTTTGCATGCAGTCCTAGCTGGTGAGTGTCAGTAAATAACAAGGGCGAAACACGAATTAGAAGACAAAAAATAAGAGCCAACAAGAATAACAAAGTGAAACGAATGAGAGAGATATCGTTACACTACACACTTACACACTCAGCGCATGGGCAACGAGAACACCGTCAAAATTGCAACTTACGATCCACCTTCCCGTATTGGACGGGTGAAAATATGACTCCATTGCTTGGAACATCTTGTGGATGTAGGAAACCGTTGGCTGGCCTCCACCCTGTAACACACCACCTCCAAATTACAGGCAACAACACACAGACATTCAATACCTCATGTACATGTGTAACAATAACAAATAGTGCATGTGTCACTCAACGCTGCTTGCACACCCAAGTTATGACAAGGAAATTTCTTAACGGCGATTATAATATATTTCACTGAGAGTGAGAATTTGGCTAATACGCGGGAAAAACAACTTGCCATCATAGCGGCGATCCACATGGCAGTGGCACCGATGTCAAAGCTACAGTTTGTACGGCCAACCTGGATCTGCCTGGAACCCACTGGTAAGTTGAAGCTACGGATCATCCTCGTGAAAATCTGAGAAGTGGTGAATAAGAGCTTAGGCCTAAAAAAAAAGTGTTTCCACTAACCCGACCAAGTCCATTTTAAACGGTCGTGGCGAAACTTTTTATTGTGATCAGCAATAAAAAAACAACAACGTGATATCGATTGGTGAATGCATTGATTTGACTTTGAAGACATTTTTTATGGGCTGTTATGAGTATAAAACAAGTATTGTTAGAATACAAAAAAATAAAATATATTTGATAACAAAAAATTCCCCTGCCTACCGTGTCCAATTTTTTTCAGCTCGTTAGCGGAAACAAACATCTTTTTTTCTTAGGCCTTACAGCAAAAACCCGTAATCTAACATTAACTGATCCATGAGGATCAATATTTTTTTACTATATATATAATCAAGAGTAGATAATAACACAATAATGTGTTATTATCTACTCTTGATATAATATATCAATTAATTATTCAATGATCTACTACTGTATGTCTGTGCATGTGTGCATGAACGTGTATCTGTGCGTGTGTGTGCGTACCAATCATTAAGTTAACATACCATTGATATGTAAGGCTGCCAATCGATATAGCCGATATTATCTTTTGCCGTTCTCGCAAATAGGTTTATCAAATGCTGTAAATAAAATTATTATTACATTTTGTTAACTGTGTGCACGCACTTGCTGGTATGAACTAAGTATGAAATGTAATATCTTATCTATGGCCAGTGTTTCCCCTGCATTGACACAAGCGAGGCGGGCCGCCTCGCTCAAATTCTCCGCCGCCACACAGAAATTTGTCCAAAACACCGCCTCGCTGACGAAAATCAATGTTCTTCCATAGAACAGTGCTTATAATGCCATAAAATAGCTTAGAATGCACCAAATTGCACCATTTTTCAAACAATTTCAAGCACCTGCAGTGCTCGCTTTGCTAAGACCTCGAAACACGCAAACACACCCAAAAAAATTTACCACCTCACAGATCTTTTTGGCCGGGGGAAACACTGTATGGCTATAAGATAATTAGTACAGTACATCCAGCCACACACACAGTATGTCTGTACATATTACTTGGTAAAGGACTATATTATGCTAAAAAAATTGACATTCCACTTATGTATAGTTCAAGCTCTGGGATACTTTTATGGTGTGAACATGTGGCCTTCCATAATTAGTAAGCTTACATGGTGTCAAAATATGGCTGAATATTAAATATAATCGTTCGCGCAATGACCACCATAAGAAAAACGATTGAATCAACTTTAGAAATCTTGTTTGAGAGGTACATGGCAAGCATCTAGGTGTTAAGGATTACTCACGACTTCCCAGGATGGTACATTGTGACATGCTTCCCACATTGTCATCAGTTCATCAAACCAAACCCTAAAGCATGACAATTAAAAGGTAGTATCAATGGTCTTACATAGTTTGATTTCTACAATATGCAGAAAACGTCGGTTCACCACATTTTAAATATATTTAAACAGAGGCTAAAGTAAAAATTAATATAATATCTTAAATTATAATAAAATAGAAAATCGTTTAACCCATGAACTACATTTCTCAATGAAAGCACATCGAAAGGGATTTTATAAAATGGGAATAATGTAACTGTGGTGAATGTTATACCAAATTAGGTTGGATTGGTTAGGTAAATAGAATCTGATGCTATATACCACCAATCAGCCTAAAAAACTAACCATAATTCATTATAATGGAAAGATACCCACAACAAAATGAAAGTGTCAATGACACTGTAGCTCACCACAAAAAAGGACACAAATGAATGAGTAAGAAGAAGTCAGTTTTAATTGAGCAACCATCGACGTACATTATAGAAACGATTGCCATCTGTATATCGCAATAATAATTTATAAACCAAAATGAATCACAATTTGTGACCGTAGATGGCGCTATACCCGCTTTGTAGCGATGGCGCTTGAAATAAATAGGTTATGCTGCGTTCCGACATGTTTTGTAAATCTTTACTCTAATATAGACGTTTTATCGGCAGAGTGGAGAGGAAATACCAATTTTACATTAAAGATATTGTCAATGAAATCTTGTAAAACGAACCAGACGAGTGTGACACCACAGACTGTTTGTGTTTATATAATATGCTGTATAATTGCCAAACCCTACCTAATTTGCATAATTTTTTTTTAAATATCAAAACCCCTAGCCCTTATTCATTCACATACCAAAAATGAGCAAAATCCGTTGAACCTGAACTGACTAATGGCAATTCCCATTTTTGCCAAAAAATTGCCGTGGCTCGAAAGTACGTCGACTGGCGTGCTTCAAAATAGGACGTTCCATGTGGGAGCATAGCAGTAACAACTACACCCAATTTCAAACATGTGGGTCAAACGGTTCCTGAGTTATCGTTGACCGAAACCAAATGTTGACGGACGGACGGACGTACGACGGACGGCGACCCATGGAAATAGCTCAACTTGACGATGTCAAGGTGAGCTAACTAGCCTGTCCTAACCTAGATGAAAAAATGCTTAATTGGACATCCTGGGGAATGATCAGGGGTCAAAATAAGCGATGGTCCGATGGTCCGGGGCCATCAAATAATCAGGAGGACCATCAGATTTTCAAAGTCAATGATCCGATGGACCATTAAATATTTTGGTCCCATTTTACGGTAATTTTCTTTGAAGTTTCCACGTGCAATATTCCAAGGATAGTGAGGATTATGTTGAAGAGGAAGATGAACAAATATTAGATAAGATGGACATGATGGAGTGTGCCAAGAAGGCTTATAATCGCTTGAATTAACTGCTTGACTGAAGGAATGTAAACTGTATTAAATGAATGAATGTGCTTCTAAGAAATATTTGAGACATACTATATTCCGGTGTTATGGGTTCAACTAAATGTTACTAAAACAACTTTATTAACCAATACACTATTAAAGTGAATAAACAATTACTGTATCATTTAGTACATTCATTGTAGGTGAATAATTAAACCATTTTATCACCATGTAAAATCTATTTCTTACGCTTGCACGCCCCATTACTATTAGAGAACAATTTGAAATTTAGGAGAACAATCTAAATTTCAAACTAGATGGTCCTGTGGACCATCTCTTTTTTCTCCTTATTTCTACCCCTGTGTCAGCATCAAAAAGTCCCTGGTTAAACCAAATGCATAAGCTCATACATTAAAAAACTTTTTTTCAAAGGCCCATGTTACTTCACACATTGTGCAAATGCAGCTTATCTTTAATTAACTGTGTAATTTTTTATGAAGTCATGGTTCTTCAAGCTTTTAAATTATGACATGGGGGTGCTACTAATTGCTAGGGGTGTTCAAGGGCATACCCCCGTGAAAAATTTTTGAATTGTAGAAGCTCTGAGATGCAATCTGGGACACTCTGTGTGTAAATTTGAAGCACTGCATGTGGGGTAAAAATGTTTGTTTTGCATGGGCAAAGCCATCGGAAAATTCAAAATAATTATTTCTTGATGAGCTAGAAAATCCTCGGATTTGACGTATAAAAATGAACATTATTGTGCCAGCTAGCCTGCACCAGTTGGTTGGGATTGATTGTCAGTTCAGATGCAAAATATTGAAAACAAAAGGTTATACACCATAGATTAATTTTGGTACTATAACACGCGTATATAAGATAGCCGAGTCGGTTTAGAGTTAGTGTTAGGGTTAGGGATAGGGATAGGGTGACTGTTTGTACTTGTGTGTGGGATTGCCGTACCCGTAGCATCGAGACCAACGTGTATTAATTGTTTGAACTTCTTGTGTATACAGCAGCATGGCGGCTATGATATTTAGCGTGGCGGGTGCATTTTAGGATGGCAGGGCTCAACGATAGCCTGGCGAGCCGCCAGGCTATAAGTGCCCTTGGAGAACCCTGGAAGTACAATCAGATATGATGGAAACTTCCTGAAGCAACAACTGATATGGGCAATGTGTTAAATTAAGCCTTATGATACAGGATGTTTGTGATTATGAAATCAAAACACATCTAGAATGTTCTTACAATAAAAATAAAGTCATCCAAATGCATGGAATATTTGTATACTTACATAGAATATGTACCACAATTATAAATGTTAATGAAACAACATAAAGATAATAGTAACAAGTGCCGCAGAGCGACAACGCTCAACTGACGTGTACTGTAGCCGGGTATTCGTCTGATAAACTCACTGGCAACCAAATCAAGATCGTACGTCGAGCGGTTAAGATTTGTGCCGTAACTGTTGACGGACGGACAGACGGACATTCATGCGATTCTACAAGCTGCATCTGACTTCGTCAGCTGAGCTAATAAAAGTATAATTTCAAAGCATTGGAGTATTACACTGGTTTCATGAGTTTTAAAGCATACATTCACACTTTACAACCCTCAATGCAATTTTTGATCACTACAATAAAATTATGCATTCACTAACTTGAATCCATGCTCATGAAGTTCTGGCGGTAAGATTGTCGGCAAGAAAAGTTCGAAGCACTGCATTGCTTTCGACATCGTGGTATCAAATGGACACATCAGAGGGCGCCACTCAGCCACCATCTCCCGCGTCGCCTCCGCAGGAAAGTAAACACGGCAGGCCTTGATCAGGTTCTTAACAGCGCCATCAATATTGCTGCAATGGGTTTAAAATGATGGATAAACAACGGTGTCGAACACAACTTTTTTAACAATATCAGAATTATCATCACTAAAGCAAGTGGCCTGTTTTCAGAAACAAAATTAGTCTTATGGTGCCCTCACACCATAGCGATCACCAGTTGCGTATGGTTGCGAATAAAAAATAGTGGTCATAAATTCCGAACGCAACTCACACGCAACTAATAGGTTTTATAGGTTTGAAGTACGCAACAAGCACGCAGGTGATCGCAGACACACGCAGAGTAAGTTCAGAAATTTTGAACATGTTCAATAATTCTCTGCGAATGCCTGCGATCAATTTATACGCAACAGGGACGCAACAGGGACGCAACAGGTACGCCACACATGGAACACGATCGCAACCGGTACGCAACTCATACGTTATGAATGCAGGTGATCGCAGGTCCAAATTTGAGGTATCTGGCCAGGTTTTGGTAGCGTACATGTTGCGAATGTGTTGCGTACCTGTTGCGATCATGTTGCGATCGTGTTGCGTGCCTGTTGCGATCCTGTTGCGTGTGTAGCGTACCCCCAACCTATGCCCTGCATATCCAACCTATTAGTTGCGTGTGAGTTGCGTGTTAGTTCCGTACTACATGCGTGTTGAGAAATGGTATAAATAGTGGGCCTTTTCTAGATCGGTGTCAGGTGTTCGTGGACCTCCGAGGTGACAACATGGAGCTACCTCTTGCTGTTATTGGACATCAGTTTAATCTGGTCAATTTAGCACTCCAACACATACATAACAGAATAAACAGAAGGGGAGAAAAAGAAGAAGAAGAAGAAGAAGAAGAGTGTGGGTTAGACCATGGATTAGCCGGCGCCTTGACTTTGGTCTCTACAACCAGCTTCTGGTGGAGCTCCGAAACGAGGACCAAGGTGCATTCAAGAACTTCATGAGGATGCCCCACGAGATGTATGATGAGCTGCTACGTTGGTCCTCGCATCACCAAGCAAAACACGAAGAACAGGTTGCCCCTGGACCTTGCGATATTCGCAACTAGCACGCAGGTCCAACGCAACTTGTAAGTTTTGAACGCAACTCACACGCAACTAGCACGCAGGTCCAACGCAACTTGTAAGTTTTGAACGCAACTCACACGCAACTCGCACACAACTCGTATGCAGGTGATCGCAGATATTGGAGGATCATAAGTTCAGTTCGCAACCCACACGCAACCCATAGGTTGAATAGGTTAGAAATTGACAAAATTGTTGATTTGGGTTGCGTTTGGTGCGTATAAAAATATTTTTTACATGCAACTCAAAGGTTTCAGCATACGCTATGGTGTGAGGGCACCATTAAGATTAACTTCAACTCGTAAACCGTTGACAGAAATATCATAAAGTTATGAGAAACGAAAAAATTCTCGCAAACTTCCTCTTAACATTACAAGATCCTAGAACCTCTCGTAACTTAAAAACCAAGATGAAAATAACACAATTACACAAAGAATTGAAATTATAGTGATTTTATATTTTATATTCATTAGTAAAACATGTGTTTTTAATAGGAACCATGTCAGAAACATTACATGTCTACCGATCGCGTACCAAAACAAACATTTACAAGTGGTGATTGTTCTCTTGTTTTTGATATTTTTATGAGTCATGACGCTGGCGGGGGGGGGGGGTACTCACATTTTTTGGGGGTAAGGGTGCTCGACCTAAATGGGAAAATTGAGGGCAAAAAGATGGCTTGACGGTGAAAACATGGGACAAAAAGATGGCTCGACATTGAAAACATGGGGCAAATAGATGGCTCGATGGTCAAAACATAGGGCAAAAAGATGGCAAGGAAAAAATTGGGGGGGGGGCAAAAAGATGGCAAGAAGGAAAACGAAAAATGGGGGCAACAATGCGGCGCATATATATATATATATATATGCATCACTATGCGGAGTACCCCCCCCCCCCAGGTCATGACACTCGCTTCCTGTGTTGCTGTGCATAATAAATTCAGGAGCGTGTCATTTTTTCATCAGATGTTATTTATATGTTGTTAACCATAATAATATGCATAAATTGCTGTGATGTAGGCTACAATAAATGTGTATGAATTTGAGTTTTATGATCGATTCTCATGCAATCAGCAGCTTTGTGACAGCAAATTATCAAGTTCCTGTTATCGTAGGGTTTCTCATAACTGCAAAGTGGGAACTTACGTTGGTAGGAGCACTAAACCAATCTGTTCATTTCCACCATAGGTTATTTCATTGTAGAGTTCATAGAGAGGTCGCCAAGGTAAAACCAGATCGTCCCGAGATAATAGTTCCTTTTTCCTGTAATGTGATTTTTTAACAACACCTTAAATGCAGCCTTTTACACAAACGGGATCATCACTATTTATTACTCCATTGCAAATACTCTGTACATATAAATAAATAAACACTTGTATTTGCTTAAAGTCACCCAATAGAAATCCATGTTCATAGCGTCTATTTTAACCACCGACTTTCCCCTAATCACTGATGTAATCAACACAAGCACATGGCATCAATCGACAATCGTGTAGATTGAGTTTTAAATACTCACTTGACAAGTGTAGTCAGCATCAAAGAAAACTTTGCAACAAGTGCCATTTCCATGTCCTCAGCTGTTACTAGGTTGAAGAATAGGTTTATAAATGCAAGATGATCTTCCTTGCTGAATTTGAAGCCATAGAGTGTGATATACCTATTAAGAACAGTAGTTTAATTAGTGTAATGACATAAAGCATCATTTCAAATTGTAATACTAGTTTTAATAAGGAAAATCAGAAAATGTATAGCATCGAAGCAAGTTATAAATACACTAAGGAACATAATTCTTTAATAGATAGGCATTAATCCAACTTACACACGCACACACACACAAACACAGAGTTTACAGAATGGGAACTGCGGCCAACCGTACAACATTAATTTTTTGATCAGCATCTATTCAGACAACAACCACTTAATATCACACAAATCACAATGTCAGAATGCGAATTGAAAGTAACATTTTACTAGCATTACAACAGTAAAACTTATAGTCATATACTGACTAGTTAGTTCAAGGAGTCATAAAGCTAGAGCCAAGATAGCTCCAAGAAACGGTATTGCTAGGGTTAGAACACCGTTTCAAATTCTTGCCCATAATTCCTTGTAGTTGGCTCGGTATCCAACCATCGACACAGCTAGAGTCACATGTAATAGCTCAAACGAATCTATAAACCTCTGACTTGCTCGCGGTAACTGGGCGCTACTGGGCGCTACTTATTTATCAAGTTGTGCCGTTTTTCTGAGATGAATTGGATCAAAACAACCAGACAGCTGCCATGTCCGCCATGTTCAGTGCGACTGAAATCGGCAATGGACCTGATTTTCACTGAACATAGGCCTAAACACAAGGCAAGTACATATCTTCGCAATGATAATTATTAAGTTGTTGTAGATTGATGTTTCCTGGTTTTCAATGTTTTAATATTTATATATATACGAGTATATGATGCTTATTTATGCTCGAGCCAACGCGAGTTGCAACGCTATGGTACGTTATGTCGTTTCGGGTTTTCCGCGTGCCGTTCCAAAGCATGCGCACTGGAAACATGGCGGTTTGGCGGTTAATTGAAATTTCGGTTTGGCTCTTGAAATTTACACTGTGCACAGCGAACTGAGGTATTAGTTTTAATAACAACGCTGGAATACTATAAGGTGAAGGTTATACTTAATACAAAACAAGGCGGAAATGCTTAGATGATTATTTTATTTGAGATATACGTAATTGTTCGGCAGTTTTTGTAGAGGTACAAGATTTACCAATGAATGGATGTCAGGCTGTATATTGACGTCAGTCACACAGCCTGGTCGGGTTAGAGCCAAGACTAAGTAAAGATATTGTAAATTTATTAAATAATAATATTTAATATTAATAATATAATAATTAATATCAACCACCTAATAATTATTTTTTACTTATTCAACTTCGCTGTCCAGAAAAGAACTCCAGGTCGCAGTTCTTTCATTAATACAGATCTTCCAATGTTTTCTTTTATCAGACTCAGGTGAATTTCTGCTTCCTCTTTAATATCTTCAGCATACGGCAACAGCTCATTGTAAATAGAATTTTTCTGAGTTTTAAACATATTTGAGCTGGCCTGTTTCAGCCCATTGTCCACAGCCATCTTGTGTCAGTTGTTGTGACGACTTGCGCACTTTTACCAACTTTAACGTAATTTTATGAAACACACAGTTAAACAGCTATCTAACGTCGATGTTGTTTGCTAGGACGTTAATCTTAGTATGACTTGCAAGTACTGTAATAACACTATGGTAGTCGCCATACTAGTTGGCTATTTTTTATAAAATTTTGCACAGGGGAGAAATAGTGATCCGCTAGAGGACGCGTTAAATGCTAACAAAAACGGCTCTGATTGGCTAATTTTGTCTTTTATTTATTTTATTGTTTATTATTTTTGGCTAATTTTGTCTTTTATTTATTTTATTGTTTATTATTTTTGGATAATTTTGTTTTATTTTAGAATTAGGGATAAGGTTAGGGTTAGAGTTAGGGTCAGGATTAAGGTTAGGGTTAGGGTTAACTGATTTCTATATCCACAACTTATTTCTATATTCACTATCTCTCCCCTGAGAACTACTATTTTTTATAACTATCGTCCTCTATGGCACGTGATTCCGAAAATAAATAAACTATTGACCAAAGAATAACAATATATAGAAATACTATTCAATTTTCATTCTTTTTGGTTTTGTTTTCTAATATTTATGTGCATTAATAAATGTCATTTGACAGCAGCAATGATGTTGTAATCATTATTAAATACATGTGCAAAATGTATATCTTACGAGATATAACTAGAGATGGCACCACTGACTTTCAATCAACGAAATGACCACCCATTGACAAAGTGTAAGGATAATGTACGGTAAGCGTGTTTACAGTTTAAAATAATAATTCAGTATATTATTATTAGGATTATGTATATAAACAATGCACATAGTCTCATTTAAGAATCATTGAATTTATTTTTTATGCGTAAAATCTTAATGATATATTGAATCATCGTGTGATCTGAAGACTGAAGTGAAGACGTGATAATATTATTATTAATAATCTTCGATGGCACTTGAAATTGAATCAATCGGGCAATGGCAATGTGGCAATTATGAATTAATGGTAAATACTAGGTCACTTTACTAGACCGTAGATTGTAATAGAAGTACTCGGTAAACGACTGCAATGATTGGGTCAATTAGACAAGAGCCCCCTCTGCTTGGTATTACCTTACGATTATCGCAGTACCCAAGGTTGCACATATTCTTACAAACTACAAATTACAAAGGTACCAATATGGCAATAATAATTATAATCATTTTTCACGTCTTTCAATAGGGCATAACCAAGTGCTGTACCTGTTCTAATGTCTTGTTTGACACTACTCAATGGAGCCATCAGAAATGGTTTTGGAAAAGCATCATTTAGGTAATGAACCTTAGACATTAGTTGAGGTTTCAGGCAAGGGTAGAATTACCGTGTTTCAAAATATGGTCTGAAAAAATCATGTTAGTTTTTGTCCAGTAACTAATAGCTGGCAGGAACTGAAAGAAGAGCTAAGGGAAGAGAGAGAGAGAGAGCGAGAGGGAGAGAGAGAGAGAGATAAAAAAGAGAGCGTGCGCATGCAGGAATCAGAAGAAGAGGTAAAGGGAGAGCAAGCACAGTTGACATAAAGCACCCTTCCCCCATCTATTTGTCTCACTCTACAGTACCGCTGTTATGCTTTCAGCACGACGCAGTCTCTCCAGCAAATCATAAAGCTGTCACGTCTACGTGTCGTTGATAACAGCGCACTCGGTCGTGCCGCCATGCAGTCGGGCAAGCCGCCACGCTGCATACACGTCTACAAGAACACAGGCGTGGGCACGATCGGAGACAAGATCCTCGTTGCCATAATGGGCCAGAAGAAGCGCGGTTATATCATCGGCTGCAGGCAGAAGCAGGCGGCGGGCGTGCCGCGATTTGACTCGAACAACATGGTGCTAGTCGATGATTCTGGCACTCCGCTGGGGACGAGGATACGGGTGCCCGTGCCGTCGTGTCTCCGGGGAAAGGCGACAGGAGACTTTAGCAAGGTCTTAGCGATCGCGTCCAAGTTTGTGTGAGAAGCGCCGTTACCGGTAGAGCGACGAAGCGGACGTGTGACGGGGAGTGTTTCAGAATGGTCGATGGTTGCCATGGCCACTGTTCAGCGATTTTTTATTGACGGTTTGGTAGAAGCCATGCACGGTATTGTCACTTGAAAACTTGCGTGCATGCGTTGATTTAACCGAGTGAAATCCCTTTGTGAGTCTGAGCTCTGAGTTCGTCATTAGGTGCATAATGCATTCATTAGCGAATTATATATGGGTTTAGTGGTCGATGATTTAGTATTGGATGACATTGGATGAAAGCTGATGATATCATGCAATCTCCTGTAATATTGTTGCGTATAAGCAAATGTGAAGTGAATGTGAAGTCTGCAAACTGATTACAATGATATTGTTAGTGCTCAAGTAATGTTATGTGCAATATCAAATGCCATTACTGGCAGATTTCTTTGTATAAATAAAATTTGTTTAGTTTACAATCTTCTAATCTTCTAATGTTTAGTTTACAATCTAATTTGATTTGCTCATGCATAAAGAATGCTATGTATAAAAGATAGATAATCTAATACATTGTAATTACAATGTATAATTCTTGAAAAACTCCTGTTACCTGTTACCTATCCGCCTCGCGCCTGGTGGCACATAATATTATGGCCAGTTCACTATTTAGTATATGATCTAAGGTAACTTGTGTGAAGTTACCTTGTGTGCAGGTGTAAGCTTGGTATGCTAATGTAGCTTAATAGAGCAAGCTTGTTATTATACTGGAAAGAATATCTGCTCTAAAAATGTGGTCAAAAGAACACAATCGGGTTGTCACGCGAACGTAATGTAGCAGCGTAATGATTTTAGGCCTACACAAGGATGAGACGGGAGTCTTCAGGGCAGCAAATGCACAGTCTCACCACGAATCCACATATCTGATTACTAGTGTAAAAGCTTACCTACCTCTTACTACCACTTACCTCTTACCATTTACTACCATTTACTACCACTACTTACTCTTACTTAACCAACCTACCCTAACATGATATATGAATCAGTCTTAAACACATTTTCTAGTCTGATTTATTCCTACAAATGCGCACCATGAGCAGATTGTCTTTAACACATGCAGATTAAATCTATGGAATAGTAAGTAACACGTAGCGATGGGTTTGGGATTAGTATTAGTGCCATGAACTCCATGAATGATAGCCACCGCTGGCAGCTTAGTGTCCATTAGAACGATCACACTCCATCGCCGACACGCGAAACTCGGCTCCGCAGCAGTCGCGGTAAAATAGCGACAGCGCAACACTACATGGGCTGAGAGGGTCTATGTCCCCCAGGGTACTGCCGGAACGTACCCTGGGTACGGTCCGGTATACCGGAACGTACCCTGGTACTATCTAATATGCCGGACCGTACCTCGCCTACTCCACTAACGAGTCTAGGGAGTCGCCTACCCCTACCCCTAACTAACTACCCTACTCCCTAACCCTAACCGTAACCTTAACCTTTAGTTGAATGCATTGACGTCACATGTCTTCTTCGATACCACCATAGAAATATAGTAGATATACATACTAGTACCGATATACTAGATAGTCGACCAACCCGATACATTTAGTTAGACAACCCGATGCCTTTAATTGAATGCATTGACGTCACATGTCTTCTTCGATACCACCATAGAAATATAGTAGATATACATACTAGTACCGATATACTAGATAGTCGACCAACCCGATACATTTCTATGGATAAAACCAGGAACATGTCTATACATTGTATGCTATACATTGTGAATATGTTTCTGATAAAAATTAATGTACGTAGTGTGGGCTCGGAATGCTATTTACTGGGAAATACATCATAAAGAATATCTGTCTGTCGATCATCACAGACTTTTCGCTGCACGCACACGACGATACCAACCAATGTCAATACCATGTCAACCACACCAATACATATGTATCATTTCAATAGAAATAAGTAGCTTTGAAGGTGGGAGCGCTAACTCACCCACTGTGCGTGCGCATTGGGGTGGGCGGTTCGGGAAAATGTGTATTTTCCAGTGACATAAAGGTGGTTGCGATATTTAAAAAATATCTAGAGTATCTGAGTGATTTAAGGCACTAAAATGGCGCTCTCTCGTGCATTCTACGCTTTAAAAATTAAAATTCTGTATTTAACCTCTCATCTTAGTGGATGGGTGGCCTTACTGGCTATTTTCTTACTAACCCCCCCCCCCGCCCACACGACCCCTACATTAACCACTGATTAACGCAGAATAAATAAGCGAGTAAGATGCGGCATAAAATATGGCGGTGTTATATTAATGAAAATTATGAAAATACGGCGGTTTTTAGGATGGAAGTTACATAGACCACTGCAGAAGTACATTATTACATAAAGAAAGTCGCATGGATGTATCCGACACCGCGCATATAATACAAAGCTATATCAAATTCTAAATCCAATATATAATGCCAAATATAGGGTAGGCCCTACATGCCAAATATATATATATAAATATGCCAAAATGGCAAATGCCACACACACACGCACACACACACACACACACACACACAGGCCCGTATCCAGGGGGGGTTCGGGGGTTCGAACCGACCCCCCCCGACGCCCGTCCCCCACCCCCACCCCCACGCCCACAAGGCAAAAAAAAAAAAAGTTTAAAATTTTGCAAGAAGTTTACTCAGTTTCGCTCCATTTTAGGCTAAGTAATTGCAAAATCTCCACTTGTCGTGCGGGGAGCGGTGAACAGTGAACACCCCCTCCTACACCTCCCCGCCTCGGTGGCTTGGTCCTCGCCTGGTCGCTTCGCGCCGAGCAGGAGCGTTACAGGATGGGGGTCCAGGGAGTCCGGACCCCCCTTGCTTCGTCGCAGAAACGCATCTGAGGGTCTAATTAAAAAAATTAAAGACCCAGACCCCCCTTCGCGGTGCTCGCAACTTTGGCGTTACGGTTAGACCCCCCCCTGGTACAATCCTTTACGCACGCCCTGCGAGAAATTCCAACATTGAAAAAACGACCCCCCCCCCAATAGAAGCTGGCTACGGGCCTGCACCACACACACCACAGTCACCACACACAACACATACACACACACACACACACAAACCCACACACACACACACCAACACACGCGCACACGCGCTGCGCGCGCTGCGGCACACACACACATATATACAAGAGTAATAATACCGCTTATTAAGAGGTATTATTAGCTCTTGATATATATATATATATATATATATTATTGCATTATTGCGGACAATTTCCTGTAAATGCCGTCCAAATGCTCAGTCATCTACAACAAACACTGGCTGCCGCCATTGCTGCCGCTGCACACTGACATATAAATATATAGTAAGTATATAAATAAATATAATAAATATAAATAATTTTTATATAAATATAATAAATATATAACTATAATTATATTTATATGTCAGTGTGCAGCGGTAGCAATGGCGGCAGTGTTTGCCTTTTACGGACGGCATTTACGGACGGATGGACGGCATTTACAGGAAATTGTCGGCAATAATAGGTGAAAGAGAGTATAGAAACATTAAGACTTTGGTAGTAAATAGATTTCGTATTGATTTAGCATTATATTTTATTGAAACGCTCCAAGTGCCTGTGGGTACGCATTGCGTTTTCTGGACCTTCTTTGTTGAGACAATTACCGCTGGTGTTTGCTCAGCAGGGCAGGTGTTGACCGGATCGGTGGTGTCACATCATTAGATATAAGTCGTGCGCGCGCGGCTGACAACAAACCGTGGCTTCGGCGCAGGTATAGACGGTATTCTTGCGTCGAAGACTGTGCGTGAGAGCATGTGCGCGCGTGTGTCCGTGTAGGTGTACGCATTTATGTGCGTGTGCGCGTGTACGTATTTATGTGCGTGTGCGCGTGTACGTATTTATGTGCGTGTGCGCGTGTACGTGTGCGCGCGCGTGTGTGTATGCGTGCACGTGTTTGTCCGTGTAGGTGTACGTGTGCGTGTGTGCGTATATGTGTGTGCGCACGCGCGCGTGTGTGAGTGTGTGTACGTGCGTGTATGTATGAGCGTGTGTGTGTGCGCGTGTGTGCGCGCGTGAGTGCGTGTGTGGGTATAAACATCAAGTGGTTGTGATTTCAGGATATGAACCAGATTTCGATTCGCGTTCATTCGTCTCCACTATGGCCGTGCGTGTACCGAGGATTGCTTGCTCCGTTCGAGCACGTTGTCGCAATGTGGCGTGCGATATTGTGCTTTGACTGTGTTACTGCATCGGTCGAGACTGGGATAAGTAACTACAGCTGCCACCCGCTAGCGACCAGTTCAGCAACCGCGAGAAGTAACACGTGTGTATTCTCTCTGTACTTAATAGAAAAATACAGGCGTTATATACATAGCGGATAATTGAAATGTCGACCGTTTACGGTTGACTCGTGCCATTTCCCGTCAGGTGAATGATGGCGCAAAAGGCGATGAGAATCGAGTTCTATTCTAAAGCAAACGCGAATTTTAATTACTTAATCACTGTTCATCCCTGAAGTTTCATTGAGCTTTTTATATTGCTAATTTATTCGCTATGAAGAAGCTATTAACGTTACGCAATGGTACGACAAAGGTGGCAATGAAGTAAATTATAAACTGATTTCTTTAGAGGAACTTGCCTATTTTCTTACAGGAACGCGCTGTAGCGATGTAACCCATCGCTACAGCGCGCTCCTGTAAGAAAATAGGCAAGTTCCTCTAAAGAAATCATAAATATATATATAATAAGAAATCATAGGGCAGCAACGTTCGTGCTATAGCATATCCCGCCCTTTAGGGGCGTTGACTTCGAGGAAAAGTCTACATATCGTGCAAGAATAAACGAAGAGGAGCAGCTAGTTTGATAACTACAAGAAATACTCTCGGATGCACTCAACGAAACACAGCACGCAGGAAGCTCATTTGATGATGCTAATCAAAAACTCTAATTAAAACGCCCAGTTAACGAGGATAATATTAGACTTTAAAGTTCATAAATGAGCTAATATTTAATAACGGCATTATTAAAATGGATAGTTTCGCAGGTTGCCTAATCACGCTATTAGTAGCACACTACGGAGCGGGCCGTTTTGCGAAGGCTGCTAGCGCTGGTGAAAATCACAGCGACGGATGTCGACTGAGTAGGTCTGTACTTATTATGCACGACCGAATACACGACTTCGATACGTCGTTATTCGCATCATACGACAGTACTGTCGGTAACATGAACCACACGCTCGTAGCCAAGCTTCTATTCGTGCGCCAGACGAACGTGAGCCAAGTTCTGCGAACGCGGCCGGAAATGGAAGCGAATTCGTCTGTTATCGCCATCGTCGCCATCGGAAATTTCTCGCTGTTTCACGTGGCGTTGATCGGCGCCCAGGCGGGTATCACAGTCGCCGCCTATAGTGACACGGACAGCATCTACCAGACATTCCAGGTACGCATAAGAAGAGCT